CGTAAATACAATAAAAATTAAACCAAGATTTAGAATAATTATCATTTTGATCCATACATTGGTAATGTCTGACTGGGCCTCGTGTCACTTTATGTTCAACAAATTGGGCCCCGAGGTCAAAAAGGTTAACCCCTTGTTTAGATTAATACTAAAATAAGTTCCAAATGACTATTGGGTTTTATAAGCGGGTCTATTTGGGTCATTGTATTGTAGCTCCATTAACAAACCTTTAAAATGTCTGCAGACGTTTTTGATTTCAGTACTCCTGTTCTTTCCCCTTCTGGTATTGGTTAGTTTTCTAAAAGAAAATATCTAAACAACTTTGAGCCGCAGGGCAGTGACCTCACTTACAGAGGTATCCCGTGCTGGAGCTCCTCCTGACCTCACATGATTCCGGCGAGAGTCGTGGAGTTAAACAAGGCACAGAGGGATCGAGAGAGTAGCATGCTGCAAACACCCCCCGAGGCAGGAAGTCAGAGACGGCAAAAACCAGAAGAGGAAACGGGGGGGAAATGGAAAAGAAAGAACATAAAAAAAGACAAGTAAAAGGTTGCATAAGAAAAATGTAAGTCAGGGACAGGAGTTAGTGTTAGAAAGGAAATCAATAGAAAGTTGAACAAAACGGAAAGAGAAGCTGCAAAATTGAAGCTTTCAGTTTTGATGTTACCATTCTCTTGGCTAGAAAACAGCCTGCTTGCACTGGAAACAGACTTGCCAATATCAGCAAGAGAACGCAGGTTGGACTTCTTGGTTTGGTGGCGATGCTTCCTCAGTAGAGTGTACACAACCTTCTCCTTCAGGTCCGCCTTTAACTGTCCGCACTCAATCTGGTTGTCGGCGATCATGTCTGTGAAAGAGATCCATTAAAGACGCGTGATTGTCCTCTGGTTCTGTGAAGCATTTAAACCCATCTCTGAGCTCACTTACCAACAACCTGAGGCAGCGTGGAGGCCTCCATGTCCAGCATGACCGTGCCCGTCTCGATGCAGGATTTCAGCTCCATCAGGCTGTGTAAAGCCAGCGTGGCGACGTGAGGCTTGCTCCAGCGCTCGCCACCCTTCTCCACCTTCTCCTCAAACTTGATCCATCTGCACGGAGGGCGAGGAAGACAGACAGAGAAAAGGTTAGTCTTGTTTCGGCAATATAGAAAACAGCAACACACTTACTGTATTTATTCGTGTACAATACGATCTCATGTATAATACAACCCCCCAATTTTTTTAGCTTTAATCCTCAAACTACCTCCAATTTTATACCGATTTCGAGATTTTTCAGCCTTTGCAGTCTTTATACATATCAGTAAAATGATCATAGGACTGTTCATTTTATTTTAACAACATATGTACTAAAAGGTATTTTGACAACAAATAT